TGGTCTTTAAGAAACATTGTGACATTTTCATTATTGATTAAACTGCTGTTTATTTTCTTCAATTAATTCTTCGATCATTCAGTCTCTTAACTGTTAAAAAGTACTGAAAACTAAAAGGTTCACAATGATGTCGGCAACAAATCCTCACAACAGAGAAGCTGAAACCCAGAAAAAGTTTGGCATTAGTGCTATTAATTAATAGCTGATTTATGTTGTTTCAGTTCTATTATATTTCAAACAATTAATAGTTTATTGAGAAAATAATCATTTCTGGTGTAATATGCTTGAGAAAATACATCTCGACTATGACACATATTTTATCAAAATAAAGGAACACTGTAGATCTTTCCAACATTAAAACCCTTCTTATGTAAGAGGAGGAGGAGTAATGATTTGCAGTTTCAGTCTTTTGCATATTGCACATCTCGTGTTCAGAATATTTACCTTTGTATCATTGTGTTTGTGTATTTATTTAAAGATAGAAATGTATTTAAATTTCAAAACAAACATGCACAGTGTACTCTTGTCTAATGTGTAATTGGTTATTAAGTGTGTCCCTCCCATGAAGATAATCGCTTGAGGTTTTGTAGCGTTGTAGTTAACATGTTCAGGCAGCACAGTGGTTTCCTCACAACAAGGTCCTGAGTTTGATCCCATCTTCATCCTGCACAGAGTTTGTGGTTTCCTCCCACAGTCCAAAGACATACGATTAGAGGCTGTAAATTGCCCATAGAGGTGTGTGAATTTTATTCTTTTCTCTGTCTACTGCTGTGTTCAACTTCCACACTACAAACTAAATATATACAGAATATACTGTACAATATAATATAATGTTTATAGTATACTCCCCTTTGCAGTTAGTCTACAAAAATCAACATAGTTTACTATATTAACAGGAAATGACACAGCTTTTACGGAGACATCAACCAAACTGTGAATGTAACTTTGTCATGTGAATACCAGTTAAATGTAAACAAAAAAATATATATTTTGGGTATTTTGAGGTGTTCATTTGTGCAAAGTATTATGGGACAAGAGACCTTTTTCACAGCAGCCATTTTGACATGACATAGTGGGGTAAACACAGGTGTTACCAATGAAACTAATTAAGGTCAGGATTAAGGATTAAGGATCAAGAGTCAGGGAGTTGCTGCTGTGCATGTTGGCTCATTGGAA